ACATACACGCATGTGTGCGCGCGCACACATACACACACACACTTCCACACTCATTCACACACACCGCTAATCTGTCCCGAGGGCGGGGGTGGGGCGCCCTGGGGGCAGGCTCACTGGACTCTGCTGCCCAGCCCTGCTTGGCCTCCCAGACTCTGGCCTGGACCCTCCCGTTTAAGTGCTTGGCTTTTCTGCCTTTTCTCTGAGAACCCCCCCAGCTCAGAGCTCTGCTCCAGGGCCAGGGGGCAACTTGGGGAATTACTCGAGTCAGGGGTGTCTCTCTTGGGCCTTCTGCTCTCAGTAGAAACATTCTACTTCCTTTGGCCCATCCCCACGTCCCCTCTGTCCCCCGGTCTGCCCTTCCTCCCCCCCTGTTCCTCACGGTCCAGCCTCACTCCTTCCTGGGCTCCTCCTCTGCCCCTTCCCCGGGGCCCTCAGCCTGGCCTTCCCTTGCCAGTGCCCCCGCCGGCCCTTACCACCCTTGGGATCTCCCTGTCTCTCCCTGCTACCCCAGGTCCCCAGGCCCCAGTCTCTCCCTACTGCCTCCCACTCCCACCCATCCTAGGGGATGGGGGGTTGCATGGTGAGACTGTGGTGGTGAGTGGACTTTGGGCCTGTACAACCCCCATGAGCTCCTTGAAGGTCAAAGCCATGTGTTTCACCTGAGAACCTCTCCCAGCCACCACCCCCTCCGCCCCCATGGGCCCAATCCCAGCCTGGCTGGCTGTCACCTTGGGAACCTCCCAGGGTCACCTCGATGCAGGGATGTCCCCCCATCAGGCTTGTTCTGGACCACAAGTGTTCCTGGTCCTTTCACACGTCACCTTCTTTGCAGGTCAGGTAGGGACGCTGCAGGGTGGCGGTTGGGCCACGCGGCCCTAAACCCAAACAGCACAGGGCCCTCCCTCCCGCTGACCTGAGCTGTCTGAGCCACAGAAGCCCTGTGCATCTGCTCTCCTGCACAGCTGTCTGAGCTCTCTGCCCCCAGCCTCGTGGAAGGTCATGGCCCATCTCTCGGGTAAGCCTTGGCCGCCGCGTAGGCCCTGCCCCATTCCCTGGTTCTTTACTCCGGGCCACGTGGAGGCCCAGACCACCCAGGTCTCTCCTAACTAGACCTTGGGCCAGAGCAGGCTCTGAGGTCAGAACACTGAGTCCCCCCCCCCCCCCCGCCCCGCTCACCTGTGGGCCTCCGGTGAGGTGCCCCTCCCTGCTTTTGGGCCCAGCTTTCCCATCAGTAAAGCGGAGACTGTGAGCAACGCCCCAGAGGTTGTCCCGAGGGGGAAATCAGTTACTACGGACAAGCAGAAAACTGTAGCCATCACAAAGAGTAGTTTTCTTGGTTTAGCCAAGCTCTAAGCGGGGAGCTGGGGGCTCTGAGAGGAGAAAGGGCTGGTTCCCAAAACACAGGGCGGGAGCTGGCTGGGGGGAGGAGCTCTTGCTTCCAGCTCTGTGCCACTGTGCAGACCCAGGCCCTCCGACTTGGCCTAGCTAACAAGAGGAACTGGGAAGGATTACAGGATTTGCGATGGGGGGAGGGGGCCTCCGACCAGACCGCGGTCAGGCCCGAGGGAGGGGGAAAGCCCTGCGGCTGGACGGCTAAGGGGACGGGTCAGGATTCTCCCACAGACCCACCGCAAGGCTGCTGGAGGAGCTCTGTTGGGGGGGAAGGGGGAGGGTGCTACTGAGGGCACTGGGGCAGGACGCCTGTGTGAGGGAAGGTGTACTCAGGCCTGCGTGCGGGCAGCGGGGACGGAAGGGACCAGCTGAGAAACCGGGGTACTTAGGAAGTGTCCGCCAGCAGCCCAGGAGCGAGGTGACACGGGCCTGACTTGGAGCAGGCGATGGACTGGATGAGCCTTGAGTGGGCCCAGGCTGGGGGACCTGCGGGGGTGGGTCAAGGACTCTGGCTTTCCAGCCTTGGAACAGGTGGGTGACCACGTTCCCCTGCACCCCTGCAGCGCTGGGAAAGGAGGTGCTGGTGTCGCAGGGGGGTGGAGAGGAGAAAGCGGCGGGGCGGGACTCCGCAGGATGAGGGAGAGGGAGCGCCGGCCTCTCGGCTCGTCACCCACAACTCCAGACTCGTGGGTGCCCCCCTCCCCATTCCCTCCAAGGCAGGGCCCCGCTGGAGAAGTCAGGCGCTTAACCTTACAGAGCCCAAGGGGGCGACCTCGGAGGTCGGAGGGACAGTTGTCAGGTTGGCACAGGCCGGAACTGAAGCTGGTGCATGGGGAGGAAAGCAGCAGCCCCGTCTGGAAGGCCCCACACCACGGGCCACACAGACTTGCCGTGCTTGCCTCTGGAAGGTGGCCTCGGGCGGTCACTGAGGCAGCCCGTGGCGGGGGCGTGGGGGTGGGGCAGGGGCAGAAACCTTGGCATGAGGGCTTCCCGGCAACAGGATGTCCCCCTCGTTCCCCCGCGAGTGCATGGCTGTGGGCGCAGCAGATCCCGGGGCCCCCAGGCTGGTGTCACGGCTGTGTTTGGGAAGCGAGAGTGGGGTGCTGGGGAAGAGCAGGGGAAGCAGCTCCGGGGTGCCCGAGCCACGCAGACCCAGCTCCTCTGCTCATGGCTCCCGACGAGGCCCGTCGGTCCGCTCCCTAAATAAAATAAGAGCCAGCTTCTGTCACTAGAAGACCATGAAATGAAATCAATAAAGGACTCTTTCGGTGGCTGTGAGGTCAGTTCCCCACCTCCAAAGCTGACATCAGTGCATAATCACCTAACAGAAGAACAAAAATGATTCTCTCAATCGTGAATCTTTATTTAAAAATGTCTTGTTTAGGGGTGCCGGGGTGGCTCAGTTGGTGAAGCATCCGCCTTCGGCTCAGGTTGTGATCCCACGGTCCTGGGATGGAGCCCCACGGGTCTCCCTCGGTCTCTGCCTGCGCTCTCTCCCTCACTCTTTCTCAGTGTCAAATAAATACAATCTTAAAAAAAAAAATGGTCTGCCTTCTTAGTGAGGGGTGACTCCCAAGCGTAATTGTGTTACCATCGGAGGCGAGCACTGGCCTCTTCAAGCCTCGTCTTCCGGAACCCGCAGGAGGCTGCGTGGGCTGGCGTCCACCCAGAACTCGGGCTGTGCCTTCCTGGCTCATGCTGCGTCTGCCCAACCATCCTGGTCCTCCCCTCTTCCCCGCCTCACCCTCCGCAGCACCCAGCTTGCAGACCAGGCCTCCTACCCTAGAAGGAGGGCCTCATGTGTGTGCAGAACCGCAAGCTTGCAAACGCTTTTCACGCACGCTAACTTATGTGCGTTCTCTTGGTGGTGGCGGGAAGGATGAGCCCGTGTGGCAAGGGCTGTTGGTGTCTCTGCGAGGAAAGCACCGCTTTGGGGAGTAGGTGAGCGAGCGGCCCTGGAGAGCAGGGCGGCTCCGTGGGGGACTCAGCAGGCTGACCGGCTTCGGGGGACAAGGCCCAGGGTGTTCTAGGGGAGCAGTGTGAGGCGAGGAGGAGGAAGAACCCTCTGGCCATCTGAGGTCAAGGGTCACCCTGCAGGCAATGAGGCCTCAGAGCCGAGGGCCAAGCTGCAGTGCGGGAAGAAGTGCCGGGATTGCCGGGGCCGCACTGACCAGGAAAAAGGCCACCCAGCCGGGTGGTTACAAGCCTTGCAGGAGCTGGAGTTTTCCACGTAGCGAGGGAAGCGGACATGGAAAGGAGGGAGGCCTCGGGCACGAAGTCTGTGCTGAGGTAGGAGGGCTGGGGGCGGATAAACCCTCCATCTGAGAGAGCGGGCGGGGGCGGGGGGAGGACCGACACTGAGGCGACTCTGAGAAGCGGTGAGGGTATTTCCGATGGGATCATCCGCTGCGAAATGCTGGGAGCTCCGTGCAGCGGGGATGGGAGAGGATCCGGGTCAGGTGGAAGAAGGACCCAGGGGTAGTCCCGAGTCCTTCTAGCGGTGGAGGAGGGCTCTGCGCCTTCCGTGGGCCCCGAACACGCGCTTGCAGAGGGCGCGCTGGGAGGCCGAATCCTCGCTGAATCCGGAACGACGGGACAAGGAGCGCCTGCCCCACTGCGCGGCGAAGATGCCGCAGCCCCGCAGCCCGCGATCTCGCCCAAGGCCCGAGCGGGTCCGAGCTGGAAGGGAGCCCCACGGTGTGCAGCGCCGAGCCAACGACGAGCGCGGGGACCGCACGCTTGCTTCGAACCGGACCAAACACGGCACCTTCCAGGAGCCCGTTCTCTCCGCGTCCGGCCGCGCCCAGGCCCCGCTGGGCTTCTGCGCCCAGGACGCCGCGAGCCCGGGGGCTCCCCGCCCACGCTCCCTTCTCTCCCCGACGGCCTTGGCCTTCGCGGCTCGCAGCAGCGGACAAGCGCAGACTAGCAGGCCGGCGGGTCCCAGCTCAGGGCGACGGCGCTCGCTGCTCTGGGCCGGCCGCTCCCGCCGCGGGCTTCCCGGGAGCGGGCGGACCCCCGCACCTCCAGGGTCCCGGCCCGACTCCGGGTAGCACGAGGTCGTCTGGGCCGGGCTGACTCCCACCCCCTTCAGCGCACCCCACCGACACCAGCGCGCCAGGTCCGTCCCACCCGGCCAGCGCCCGCAACCCGCCCGCGCGCAAATGCGCCTGCGGGAACCGCAGCTGCTGCTCCCACGTCCGCAAACCCGCGAGCTTCCCCGGCCCCGCCTGACGTCACAGACACGCCCCCCGAACCGCCCCCTCCCGCCCCTCTGGGAGGACCCACGTTCACCGCGGGGCACCGACGAGGTCGCTTTTAGTCCGTGCGCCTCGGTGCGCACCCGAGGAGGGAGGCCTGCAGACCTGCTCGGCCTGATCTCGGCTGTTCTTTCTCTCCGGGTTTCCAGGGCTGCGTGGCGCAATGGTGAGGCTCAGCTCGGGGCATTTCAGGGCTTCACCCCCAGAAGAGAATGGTTGTGTCCGGGTGACGTCAGGCTCCGGGCGGGGCCGGGCCGTTCCGAGGGAGCCCCGCGGGGGACCGTCCTTCGGGCGGAGCCACGCCCTCCGTCGGCGTGCGGCGGTGGGGGCGTGTCCACGGCGGCCCTCTCTGCGGCTGCGCGGGCGCTGTCCCGGGGTCCTGGCGCGGGCGGGATCCTGGACGGCGGGATAAGGCGGCCGTATGGCTCCGCACCGAGGAGTCCCGTGCCTGGTGCTGCTGGTCAGCGGGAAGAGGAAGTCCGGGAAGGATTTCGTGGCCGAGGCGCTGCGGAGCAGGTGTCCGCGGGGCGGGGCGGAGGGGCGCCCGGTGGCGCGAGGGCTGGGCTCGGGGAGGCGTCCGCGGGCGTCCGGGAGCCGGTGACACCTTCAGCGGCGGCTGCCGGGAGTGCGTCCCCTCTGCTCTAGCTCCCGGCCTGTGTTCTGTCTCAGCGAGGTGCTGTGATCGGAGCAGTAATGCCGGGATGGGCCGGGGGCGGGGGAGTTGCTGGACGAGGTCGTGGGGGGCCCGGGCAGAGGTCGCCCTGGGCTCACACCAGGGACCCAAACCCCTTTCCCTTAGCTGCATTTCTCCTTGCTCTCCCCCCCGTCCCCGCACACACGAGTCAGGTAGGCGTCAGAAGCAGGGCCTGTGCAGGTGCACCCCCGGGGTTTGCAGCCTGACTTTCCACCTCCTTGTGTGGGGTCTTGCAGAGTCTTAGCTACTGGCGTCCCAGTCTCCTCATCTGCGAATGGAGATCGTCGTAGGCTGCTCATAAGGCTTCCAGGAGTCATGCCTGCGAAGAGCTTAGAACAGTCCTTGGCGCCTGGGAGAGACTGGAGCGGGATGGTGGCTGTTACTCCCTGCCTTGTTGCTTTGGGGCCATCAGTTCCCACCCTCAGGCTCCGCACCTGAATGGTGGAGATCAGAGCGCTGGTCTCCCTGGTCAGTGTGGAAGAGTCTGTGAGCCGCTCCAGGACGGGACAGGAGTGATGTGTTCCCGGGGTCCAGATCCAGCGCCCCACAAATGGCCGATGGAGTAACTGAACAGGGGAGTGAATGAGTGATTCATGCTGTGGTGACCACGGCGGTGGAGACCAAGAGACCCTGGCTGTGCGAGAACTAGGCCAGGGGCCGGGCAGTAACCTCGTCCAGGGAACGTGGCCAGTGGAATTCTGGTCGTGTTTGTCCTACTTGTTAGTTTCAGGACTGTTGACTTGCCCGTTTCCCAATAATCCCGCAGGACACAACAGAAAGTGCTGTCCCCACCATATAGGTGAAGAGTTACGGTCAGGGAGGAGATGTGACAGTCACAGAGATACACAGCAGAAATGTGACTTCAGAGGGCTGCCTGGCTGGCTCAGTCAGTAGCGCGTGTGACTCAGACTCTTGCTCTCGGGGTCATGAGTTCAAGCCCGGTAGGGCCTACTGAAAAAAAAAAAGAAAGAAGGAAAAAGGAAAGGGGACCTCAATGTCCTGGACTTGTTAGGGTCCTGGAAACTAGGTTAACTGGGTTTGATTCTGCCCGTCCTGCAGACTCGGCGAGGATGTCTGTGCCGTCCTCCGACTCTCAGGTCCACTCAAGGAACAGTACGCTCAGGTAGGTGGGGGCTCTGTGGCGTTGGGTGGGTCGGGAGGAGCCTGCTTATGTGCTGGCTCTCATCCTGAGCACAGTCCCCACGACCGCTGGCGGCCGGGGGTGGACAGCTCTTGCTTTTCTGTGGCATGACCGCTGGGGACATTTGCTCCTTAAGCTTCTGGCCACCTGCCCAGAGTATGTTCAGGAAAGCCTGTTCAGGAGGGGCTGGAGAAGCGAGCTGCCCAATCTGAGGCTGGGTTATTGTGAGAGCCTGGGATTCTTCCCCAAGACATCGAATCATCTGGGGTGTCAAGATACCTCATTAATTGAAAAGCAAGATATAGGACTGTGCACAGAGAACACTACGTTTGTATAAAAATGGAGAAAAGTCGTAAATATATTTGCTTATATTTTCGGCCACATAACAAGTATTTCTGGGGTGCTTGGGGTGTGAGAAGCCAGGGTGGGGTACGTAGGAGGCTATGTTGTCGGCTGCCTCCAGGGAGGGGAGCAGTGGTGGGAGAGAGATCTTTCACTGTAAACAAATATGTATCTTTTGAATTTTGAACCATGTCGATTAAAAAAAAAAAAAAAAGGGATTGTAAAAAAACACACGGGACCTCTTAGAGCCTTGGCCTTCAGGCCGGAAGCCCCGAAGGTGAGACCAGCTTCCCAGACTGGGAGGGGCCCTCGTTGCTTACATTTCTGCCCCTGGCTTCTGGGTGCACCTGTCCAGGGACCTGTGCTCCCAGCCCCTTGTTCAGTTGGCCTGAGTCTGGCCTTCTGGGGCGACACAAAATGAATTTGTCTTCCTCCTTCCATGCATCAGTCGCCCTGTCCGTATGCTGTTCCATTTGATCTTCTCCCTCCAACTAAACAGACCCATTTGTAGGATGGCAACCTTGGGGGGCTTCCTGAGGAGAACGGGTGCAGGGGGTTTATTTTTTTATTTTTATTTTTATTTATTATTATTATTATTTTTTAAAGATTTTATTCATTTATTTGACAGAGAGACATCACAAGTAGGCAGAGAGGCAGGCAGAGAGAGGGGGAAGCAGGCTCCCCACTGAGCAGAGAGCCCGATGCGGGGCTCAATCCCAGGACCCTGAGATCGTGACCCAAGCCAAAGGCAGGCACTTCACCATCCGAGCCACCCAGGCATCCCAGGAGTTTACATTTAAGAACCTCAGTAGGTAACGGACTGGTCAGCCGCCCTACATCTCCCACTCCCATTAAAAAAAAAAATCTGAGGTGTTTGTCTGGCGAAATGGTGGAGCCTGTGACTCTTGATCTCAGCGTTGGGCGTTCAGGCCCCGCGTTGGGTTGGAGCCTACTTTCAATAACCATCGGGAACTAGTGCTAATGTGTTGTTTTGTTGGGTCACAGCGGGGGCTGTAACTGAAAAGCAGAACGTGATGCCCCTGGTGGCCACTCCTCCCCGCGCTCTAGCGTACGTGGGGACCTAGTTTCCTGACGTGGGGCGGCGGCCGGCCTCACTGTGGAGCGGGGCACAGGGAGGTCGCAGCCCTTCAGTTTGCAGACAAAGAAACTGAGTCTGGGAAGGTCCAGCTGCCCCGAGTTAGAGGATCCGGAAACTGCCCCGAGTGTCGAGTTTCAGACCCCTTCCCGCCCTGGCGCCCCGGGAGGACCCCTCCTGTCCTCTGTGTCCCCAGGAAAGGGAAGGCAAGCAAGGATGGCCTGAGCGGATGCTCCGAGCCGCCCCTCTTGCCCCCAGGAGTCCCTGGAGCCAGATGGAGGAGCCGGACCTTTGGGGGTGGGGGAGAGGAGGGGGACAAAGCCTGGGGCGGGACAGGGGTGCTGGGCAAGCGCTGTTTTCAGGTTTTTGCTTTGTTGGAGGCCCCGCCGGTGCCCAGGGGACGCAGACTCATTTCGGGACTAGTTTAAGCCAGAAATCCTTGGGGAGGTGAAGCTGTTGCGAGAGAGAAAAGCCACATCACACATTTTATTTCTATTTATTTATTGTTTATTTATTTATTTATTTATTTTTTAAAGATTTTGTTTATTTATTTGACAGACAGATCACAAGTAGGCAGAGGCAGGCAGAGAGGGATGGGGAAGCAGGCTCCCCGCTGAGCAGAGAGCCCGACGCGGGGCTCGATCCCAGGACCCTGAGATCATGGCCTGAGCCGAAGGCAGAGGCCCCAACCCACTGAGCCACCCAGGCGCCCCACATCATACGTTTTAAAGATAAACCGGAACGACTTCCGGATCGCCCAGGCTTGTCTTCCATCTGCTGCTCTTGGGGATTTCTGTTTCCAGCTCCCTGTCCCTGCAGACCTGGGTCTTGGTGGCAGCCTCCTGGTCCTTGTACTGCCCCCGCGGGGTGGGAGGGGGAGGGCGGGGATGGCCCTTCCCCTGTTTCAGGAGAGACCGGGGAGGCGGAGGCCGGTGGTGTGGACATTGTGCGCTCTGGGCAGGAGCGTGGCCTGGACTTCCAGAGACTCCTGGACGCCAGCAGCTACAAGGAGGCCTACCGGAGGGACATGATCTGCTGGGGAGAGGAGAAGCGCCAGGCAGACCCAGGCTTCTTCTGCAGGAAGGTCGTGGAGGGCGTCTCTCAGCCCATCTGGGTGAGTGGCTCCTCGGCCTTTGGCCACTCGCCTTCTCTGTCCGCGTCTTCACTGCCTTCCCCTCCTGCTGAATCTCACCGACAGTGTGAGCTCCGGCCCTGGCCCCGGCTTCTGTCCTCGTCCCCTACGGTCCCTTCCCCACCCAGCAGCCGGAACAGTCCCAGACCGGTCACCGCTCTGCCAAGAACCTTTGTCTGTTGAACCACACTGACGTCCGTGACAGACTTCCGGGCCCTGAGCCGTCCGGTCCTGCTGCTGATTAGCTGCCCTGCTCCTTACGCTGCGGCTGCGCCGGCTTCTCTCCGTCCCGCGAAGCAGCCTCCTTCTTGAGTCAGGGCCTTTGTGGGTGTTCTGCCTGCTGGAGACGCCCCTTCTTTCCCTCCTCACCGTGTTCACCCCAGCCTGGCTTGCACGCCGCCTCCACCAGGAAGCCTTCCCTGATACCCGGGCCTCGACTGATGCTTGCCGTCCAGTGCTCCCATAGCACCAAACCCCTTTCCGACCTCCTCATTCTGGCAGCCAGTGTGCTGTGTACCGGCCTGGCTCCTGGCAATGTGGAGGGTTCGTCACTGCGAACATACACCAGAGTCCCTGCTCTCAGGGAATTTCCGTTGTCACACAGGCTGGAGGGAGTTGGGAAGACAGAACACGTCAGGTGGGGGTCGATACTCAGCAGCAAGGTGAAGCAGGCCAGGGCTGTGAGGAGGCTTCCCCGGACCCCACGGCACTTGAGCAGGGCCCTAGGAGGCGAGGGCCTGAGCCAGGTAGGGACTGGCGAGGGGGCAAGTGGCAGGAGGTGAGGCTGAGTCAAGCCCGTTGGGAAGAGCGGGGTCTGGGCTCCCGGAAGGCGCCTGGACGGGCAGAGGCAGGGGCGTCAGGCGAGGAAGTGGAGGCCAGGGTGCGGGTCTCTCTGGACGGGTAGAGGGTCCGGGGCTCAGATGCGGGGACGAGGCAGGCTCTGCCCGGGCTGCAGACCGTGGTGTGAGGCGGGAGGCCCTGCGAGGGTTTGGCTCCCAGCAGCCGGACAGACAAGAGTTTTCTGAGTCGGGGAAGGTGTGGGGACAGGATTGGAGCTTGGCGTCGCTGAGGGGCACCCATGGCACGGCTGCGCTGGAAGCCGCCGGGTTGACGTCTGGGCTCTGAGGCCGTGAGCACCACGTCCGTGCCTTCCCCGCACCGGCTGCGTGCCTGCACACCGGTGTCGCTGTGATGTGCACGTGGCTCCTGGGGAGCGCATGTGTCAGCATCAGCACCAGCCGCTGGTCTCTCCGATTGCTGCGTGGCTGGTCCGTGGAGCGCGTGCTGCTGCTGGGAGCGTCCCCAAGGCCTCCCGTCGTGGAGTGGACTCCGGGGAGGGCAGCTGCTGGCCACGAGCAACCTAACAGATGGTGATGGTTTCAGGGCCCTGCTGCTTGGCGGGATGTCCCCAGCGTGGCCGGGGGAGGTGGGGGAAGGGAGCCAGGGTGGTAGGAAGCGTCCCGCAGGAGGAACACTAGGACAGAGATGTCTGCCGGCAAGGGAGCCTGGCCCGCGCTTGGCCGGGCAGCAGGGGCCACGTGTGTCCCCGAGAGCACGTGGGTGGTGTGTCTGGGGACAGACCAGAGGGGTCCGGTGGGTGGGGGTTGCAGGAACACAGTGGTTTCCAGGTCGTGTAGGGCCCTATAAGCTGGCCATAGACTTCAGATTTTCTTAGAGCAACGGGAGGCCTTTGAGGGGTTTAGGCAGTGATCGGTCTTCGGTGTTAGAAAGTGTTGGGAGCATCTCCGTTTCTGGCCTCAGTCCGTTCATCTGCAAAACACAAGTGTTGGACCTGCTGATCTGACCTCCAAGCCTGAGCCTCTGCTTCAGCTCAGCAGCGGCCCAAGATGTGGCGGGTCCATGGCGACTGGGAGGGCGACCTGCAAGTGGGGGACAGCGGGTGACTGCGGGGTCACGGGTGACACCTGTCTGGCTTCACTAGCCCCTCCTAGCTCTCTGTGCTGGCTTGTGTTGGGGCGGGGGGGGGGGGGGCTGAGTCTTCCCACCACCACCGGGGGCTCTGTCCCTCTGCCCTCTGTCCGCTGGTCACCTGCCTGTGCTCTTTCCTGCAGCTGGTGAGTGACACACGGAGGCTGTCAGACATCCAGTGGTTCCGGGAGGCCTATGGGGCTATGACACAGACGGTGCGCGTGGTGGCCTCGGAGCAGAGCCGACAGCAGCGTGGCTGGGAGTTCACCCTAGGTGAGCTGCGCACGGCCTTCGTCCCAGCCCCCATGCTCTCCGTCTGCGCTCTTCCTGGCAGGCTGTGGGGGCTGAGCCAGGGAGGGTAAGAGGGGATCTGGGGCCTGGAGCTCAAGACTGCCCCCAGTTAGAGACTGGAGTGGGGGTGGGGGAGGGTGTCCTTGGGGCCGACGGTTTGCCCATGACCTTGGCCTGGTGCCCTTACCTGGGCTGGCCCCTCTAGGCCAGTGGGACCCACTGCTGGGTCCTTTACCTCTGCTTCCCGGGTGTTTGATGAGCAGCATGTCTGTGTGGGGCGGGCGAGCCTGGGTCCTGCCCTGTGGCTTCTTTGTGCCCGAGGTCCCAGGACCCAGCGGACGCTGCTCTGTGCACGGCAGGCCTGTGCCGGCGTTCCGCACGCACGATCGCACTCTGGGGTTCGTAAACTTGCCCGGCAGACCCTCCCCAGAGGATGGGGTCAGAGGCTTCCCGTAAGCTGAAAGCCACCCGTCCTGCTGGGTTCTGTGGTTTCAGAAGATCCATCCACACTCCGTGGACAGTGGCCACAAAGGACAAAGTCAGTGGACACTCTGGGGGCGCTCAGCCAGCGGGGGGTGGGTGCAGGAGGTTCTCTGGTGGCACAAGGGAGGCCAGGAGGGGCAGCTCCATCTGGGGCCAGCAGGCCTGCATGCCCAGGGGCCACCTGCGTGGACGGGGCCTGACCTCACCACGCCCCTGCGCAGGGGTTGACGATGCCGAGTCAGAGTGTGGCCTGGACGACTTTGGGGCCTTCGACTGGGTCCTTGAGAACCACGGGGATGAGCAGCGCCTGGAGGAGCAGCTGGAGAACCTGGTGGCATTTGTCCAGTCCCGGTGTCCATGCCGGGTCCTGGGAGCGGCGGATGCTGCGCCTCTCCCGGACATGTGGTCTCCGACGCTGGCTGAGGGCCCGGCCAATGCCTGACGAGCCAGGACACTGCGGGGACCTCGCCTCGGGCACAGGACCGCCCGCCTCTTTAGGAGGAGACTGAAGGGCAAAGAGGGGCCCCTGGTGCTGGCCCCGCTGCCCTGTCTGGATGCCTTCAACCCAGGGCTCCCAAGCCTAATAAACCGTCCTGGAGCGCACTCCGCCACCCACGGCTCTCACTCCCCGGACGCCAGCACAGCTGCTTGGGGGCCGGACGGCCGGGGGCACTGTGGGCCCCGCTCTGGCTCCCATCTGGGCGGCCGTGTCCTGCAGAGCCTGGCCTGGGCCACGTGGGAGGTGGGCCTGCTTGCGAGGAAGGTAGGTTTGGGGTCTGACGGTCTCGTCTTCAGGGACGGCCCCACGAGAGGCTCCAGGTGCTACGCCACCAGCAAGTGCCCAGCAGGTCTGCGGTACCATAGAGCCACAGCAGTGTTGGAGATCCACGGACTCCCTGGAACCGTGGTGTGGCCCTGGGCTGGTCACGTCACCGGATCGAGCCTCTGCGTGCCCATGGTGGGCTTTGGACGTGACCTGTTTTATTTTACTTTATTTTATATTTTATGTTATTTATTTTGTTATTTATGTTATTTATTTGTTTAAAGACTTTATTTATTTATTTGACAGACAGAGATCACAAGTAGGCAGAGAGGCAGGCAGAGAGAGGAGGAAGCAGGCTCCCTGCTGAGCAGAGAGCCCGATGCGGGGCTCGATCCCAGGACCCCGGGACCATGACCTGCACTGAAAGCAGAGGCTTAACCCACTGAGCCACCCAGGCGCCCAAGTTTTTTTTTTTTTTTTTTTATTCATTTATTTGGGGTGTGGGGAGAGAGTACAAGCAGGGGGAGAGGCAGGCAGAGGGAGAGGGGGAAGCAGTTTCCCCATTGAGCATGGAGGCTGATGCGGGACTCGATCCCAGGACCCTGGGATCATGATCTGAGCTGAAGGTAGAGGCTTTAACCCACTGAGCCACCCAGGCGCCCCATGTCACTTATTTTTAAAGATTTCATTTATTTGAGAGAGACAGCAACAGAGATACTGAGAGAACAGAAGCCGGAAGGAGGGGGAGAAGCAAGCTCCCTGCTGACCCAGGAGCCGGACGGGGGGCTCGACCTAGGACCCAGGATTGCAGCCCCAGCGGAAGGCAGTCACTTCACCAACTGGGCCCCCCAGGTGCCCCTATTTTGTTATTTTTAAAAGATACTTTACTTATTTTACTTTATTTTTTATTTTTATTTTTATTTTTTAAGATTTTATTTATTTATTTGACAGAGATCACAGGCAGGCAGAGAGAGGAAGGGAAGCAGGCTTCCTGCTGAGCAGAGAGCCCGATGTGGGGCTCGATCCCAGGACCCCGGGACCATGACCCGAGCCGAAGGCAGAGGCTTTAACCCGCTGAGCCACCCAGGCGCCCCACTTATTTTACTTTAAAGAGAGATGAGGGAGGGGCAGAAGGATAGGGAGAAGCTACGCAGACCCCCTGCTGAGCCAGGAGCTCCACATGGGGCTCGACCCCAGGACGCCAGGATCATGACCTGAGCTGAAGGCAGACATGTGACCCTTGGAGACCCCCAGGCACCCCTCAAGCACTTTAAGGATTTGTGAAGAAGGAGAGGACGGCTCAGAAGGTGCCGCCTGGACTTGGAGCTCGGAGGCGTGGGCGCGGCAGCCGCAGCCCTGGTAGTCGTGGAACGGCCCGTGTCGTCAGGGTCGCCGTCTGCCACATAGGCTGGGGTGTTCTCACCCCCACGGAGCCGGGAGCAGCCTGAGGGCCCCGGACGGTAGAGCCTGCACGGGGTCAGCATGTGTCCCGGAAGCCTGTGTCTGTCCGCCTTCCCTGGCGCGCGTCTTTCAGGGTCAGGGATGCTGGCCCCACCCCCCGGGAGGGCGGCCGTCCCTGCGCGCACCCAAGACTCGGGGCTCATGGGGGTGTGAGCCTGGAGAGGGCTCGCTCCTCATGCTTCTTCCTGGCGTGGTGACGTGGGGCCCACTGGACACCGTGTTGGTGATGGGATGCGCATGTGTGTTGTGAGATCGTCGGCACGGAGGGAGGCTCGTTGGTGGCCCCATCACCGCACATCGCTGTCGTGCGTGCGGGAGGCACGTTTTCTTCATCTGCTTTTCTGGCTGTGGAGAGTTCGCCGTTTCCGCGTCTTGGCCTCTGTGAATGTGGGGTGCGGCTGTGTCCTCGGCGTGGGGCTTCCCTTCCCTGCGGACACGTGTCCAGCAGTGGGATTGCTGGGTGGTCGCCAGGGGATCCTCAAGTCTAACATCGAGGAGGCAGGGTGGGGCTGGTGGGCTTGACACATCCCTGTCCTCGTGCCCGTCCCCGTCCCCATCCCGGGACCGCTGCTCACCTTGCCCCTGGCTCCGGGGAGGTTTGGAGGGCCAGGGGGTCCGTCCCCCACCCTTTGATGGGTTGGCACTGATGCGTCCTAAAACAGGAGGCCCTGGTGTCTAATGGCCCCTTCTGGATTTGAAGTTTCTCTATACTTCAAAAAGGATATTTGTCTAAATAGCAAAATCAAGAATGATCCCGACTCTTCTCTGTGGCGATGGGAGCTCTTGCGGCTTTGGTTCCGAGATGTTCCCCTTGCTGGGCTGGTCTTCGCTGACGTTGTGGTCCTGGCACCCTGTCCTGCTAGGAAGTGTTCTTGTTATCATGCGTCTAGTCTTCCAGTAACGACTTGTAGCAGCGACGTTCCCGTACACACTTGTTCTGTTCCGCGTCTCAGCAGCTCTGCTGAGACGTAACTGTTCGTAGTAACCGTGCGTAGTTGACGTGTGCACTTTGGTACGTTTTGACATTTGAATATACCAGCAGCGGTGGCCACAGTCCTGGTGCACACGTGGCCGTCACCTTCGCCCCCCACCCCGGGCCACCACTAGTCTGTTTTCTGTCTCAGTAGATAAGTTTGCGTTTTCAGGACTTTTACGTCAAGGAATCCTACAGTGTGAACCTTGTTTGGGTCTCGTGTCTCGCTGAGCGTAATTATTTCGAGAACCGTCACGTTCCTGCTGGTTTCCGCCGTGCGCGCCCTCTTGCTGCCGGTCCGCGGTGATTCTGCGGTCGATCCCGTGGCCGGTCTGTTCGCCCCTCAACGAGGATTTGGGTTGTTTCCCGTGTTTGGACGTGACCAGCAAAGTGACTGAACGTCCGTGTGTGGGATTTTGCATGCACGTGCGCTTCGGTTTCTGCAGGGCACACGCCTGCCTACGAGGTGGTCACGGTCGCCCCTGTCCTCGCCGGTGCTTGGGTCGATGGGTCTGAGTGCGGCTGTCCCGGTGTTATTTTATTTGCGGTTCCCTGATAATTTGACACAAACCCCACATTCAGCTCTGATCAAATCCGGCTGAGCAGAGCGGGGCGCCCTCTGCCGGACGGAGCGCTGGCTATAAAAGCCCTGCCCAAAGGGACCCTTCGTGGGACAAGACCGCGCCCCCCGGCCGCCCCGCCCCGCCCCCCACTCGTGGCCGAGGGCCTGTTCTGCATGCTGCCCGTGGAGGTCCCAGCCGTGGCGGCACCGTAGGAAGAAGAAATAAGGGGCATCGGGTCGGGAGGGAAGATGCGAAGCCGCCTCTGTTCCTAGATGGGGACCCCTGGTGCGGAAACCGGACGGAACAGCCAGGAAGGCTGTCGAGCCGACAGGTGAGTTCACCAAGACTGCAGGGTGCGAGGTCGCTTTGTAAAAGTGGGCTGTGTTGATGGTATTAGCACAGGACAGTCAAAAATGGAAATGAGTCATGCCGTTACAGTAGCGCAAGCACGTGCAATAGAGACGAGCGTGATAAAGACAGGCTGGAAGCCGTCGTGCTCCCGGGAGGCTGGAGACCCCACGGACAGATGCCACTGCGCCCAGAGACGGGACTCAGTGTGGAGGGTCTCCCTGTGAGATGTGATGGCAGTGAAAGGTACTGATCTTTTTAAAAATTATTTTTATCGAGGTGCTTGGGTGGCTAGTTAAGGGTCTGACTATTTCGGCTCAGGTTGTGGTCTCAGGGTCGTGGGATTGAGCCCCGCATGGGGCTCTCTGCTCAGTGAGGAGTCTGCTTGGGGTTCTCCCTTCTGTCCCCCCACATGCGCTCTCTCTCCTTCTGTCTCAGACAAAGCAAGAATCATTTCCGTGGCGCACGTCTGACACTCGGTGTTAGGTTAGCTTCATGAGTGTCGTCAGGGCACGAGTGTGCCCCTGACTCTGTCCTGCACTGTGCCTCCCGTCTCTCCCGCCCCCCCCTCCCCTCCCCAGGCCACCCTTCCCCCCACACCCCTCCCGCCACATTTCCCCTCCCCCTCCCACACCCCACGACCTCCAGTTTGTTCCCTGCGTTTGTGGGTCTGTTTCTGCCTTTTGTTGGTTTAGTTTGTTTCTCATACTCCTCACACGGGGAAAATCCTGCAGCAGCTCTGAAATGGGCTGAGCTCAGGGGCACGTTCCCACAACCTTGCCGTCAGTCCCCGCCTCCTGGAAGCGTAGGATGGTGTCGCCTGTTCTAGAATTTCTCATACGTGGTTAACATCCAATTTTATTTTATTTTTTTAAATTTTATTTATTTTATTTTTTTAAAGATTTTATTTATTTATTTGACAGACAGAGATCACAAGCAAGCAGAGAGGCAGGCAGAGAGAGAGGAGGAAGCAGGCTCCCCGCTGAGCAGAGAGCCCGATGTGGGGCTCGATCCCAGAACCCTGAGATCATGACCTGAGCCGAAGGCAGAGGCTCAATCCACTGAGCCACCCAGGCGTCCCAACATCCAATTTTAAAACATGTTTAGAACAACAGTTTATTTCCAAGATGTAACTGTTTTACTGCTCATTTTGGTCCTTTCACGATGCCTCAGCTTCCCCATTTGTGAATTTTGTATTTTTTTTTTTAAAGATTTATCTTATTTATTTTACAGAGGGAGAGAATGCATGGGGGAGGGGCAGAAGGAGAGGGAGAGAGAAATTTTTTTTTTTTTAAGATTTTATTTATTTGACAGAGAGAGAGAGAGATCACAAGCAGGCAGAGAGGCAGGCAGAGAGAGAGGAGGAAGCAGGCTCCCTGCCGAGCAGAGAGCCCGATGCGGGGCTCGATCCCAGGACCCCGAGATCATGACCTGAGCCGAAGGCAGAGGGTTTAACCCACTGAGCCACCCAGGCGCCCCGAATTTTGTATTTTAA